TCTGAACTCCAGGGTTCGTGAGCAGCTATGGCAGAGGCACCACAGGTCCATCCTCCAAACAAGCTTGAGCTTTGGAAGAATTGATCTACATTCAAAGGTCAGGTAGCCTCAGCCAGGTCTGCCAGCTATGTCATAATGTCCTCCTAAAGACAATCCCAGTGACAGCCGTAGAATCTAGATATGAACGGTACCAGGAATTTGCTCACCCTGTGTGATTTGAGGGTGTATATGGCAAGGCATGTAGCACCCCTTCTCTAGGGAGGGTAAACAAGGGAGGGTGGAACCTTACAGTCCCCCCAATATGCCAGAGCTGCGTGTACACCTGCAAAGACCAGATTCTTGCCAGAAGTAAGCAGAGGTTGGGTTTGGTTTCTCTTTTAATTGCACTGGTTAACAGATAGTTTAACCCACAAAAGAGAATGGACCAGCTGACCCTAGGGGGACTTTTTCAGCTGGGCCTGCAGTTACTGCATTTGTGTATAAGAAGTGGGGTGTCTTGCAGGGCTGACCTGGGTAGCACGCTCCTACTACTAGCCTTAAACCAGTGTGTGTCTGGCTGACTTCAACCCAGCCACCACACGAGAGCCACCCCCACCTACTAGTGATTTGGCAAATGCGCTAGGACATGGAAGGCCCAGATCCCACCTTCGAGGGAAGGGAGCATGGCGGGTATCCCTAGGGCCATGAGCAGGAAGAGGCAGAGGTGGTGCTTGCCCCAGGAGTGCTGGTCCTTGGTCCAGCTGGACTCTGCACAATAGAGTGGGTGGTCTGAGGTGACAACGCCCTATAGTGACCCTGAGCAATGCCTCCCAGCCTCAGTCAGTGCACCCGTAAAGCCTCCAATGGCCTGGTGCCGGGTTTTGTCTTAGTATTTAAATGAGTGATTGTTTTTCCAAGTCTGGGAGACACCAACAACTTTCCACACAGACGAATGCATCCGAGGGACTGAGGGCAACTTTTCCTGAAGCCAGAAGCTCAGCCTCAACAAGTGGCCAGGAGTCCCCGACAGCACGTGGAGCGCCCAGGGGCCAGGACGTGGGTGTCTAGAAGTCAGTTGATGATACTACTCCGCGGTGGGAGCCCACACCGCCACAGAGGGTTCCATGGGGAACTCTCACATAGGATGTGTTTATACTCACGGGATTTCCCTGGAGAGCAGCCGGGCCCTCAGCAAGACAATAAAGAGAATTCAATGAGAAATAAGTGGCTTCCTCCAGACAGTTCTCCTGCGGGCTCTGACCCCATGGATTGTGGACAATGTGTGTTTTATTTTTCCCAGAAGCTTCCCTAGTGCTCCCGAAGACACAGTAGGATCCAAAAGATGTTAGCAGGTGTGTGAGGGGGTCTGGAGGACACAGAGGGCTGTGCATCAGTGGCAGAGGGGATAGACAGGAGGGAGAACCAAGGTTCTGAGCCCTGAGGTCTCAGCCAGATCTGGTCATGGTAGAATGTGTTAAGTGCTGCATCCTCCAGCCACCCTTGGCCATCGCACATGCTGGCTGCCCCTTGGGTTTCCAGCAAGTGCCCTCACATCCACTCACTGCCACGGACTGCAGCAGGACGGTCCAGCCTCTGTTGTCTTTCCCTGGGCAGCTGGGATTCTCAGAGTCTGAACACCGCCCCGTGCTCTTTGCATCATCTTCCGTGACCTTGACTTTCCACCCACCCAGTTCTTTTCCATCCCCATTCTGGCCGGGTGCACTGGGGATTGTTTTTGCAGGCTCCTGGCAGGGGGAAGTGACATCATGAGCTGTCCTCTGCCCAGGGGATGGGGGCAGGGCTCTGCGGTTGCGTGTGCTTTGAATTAAGTCTATGGTTGTACATTCCAGTAGCCGACATCTGGCAGTGAATTCACCAGCCAGTGTCTCACCCTTGATCTCAAACCCAGATGTTGTGTTCACAGCAGAAAAGAAAGAAGAAAATATACTTTCTGGGGGGAGGCTGTGGTTTGGAGGCACAGAGCAATTAGAAGAGAAATCATGATAGACTCCCTTCCACTGCTCCTTGGGTGGGTGGGGGGACTCACCTTGGTGCTGTTGCCTGACCCTAGGCCCAGCATACAGTAGTGTCCAGTCAACGTGTGTGTGTAGACGTGTACTCTCCACCACCTTCCCTGTCTGCCAGTATAAAGGAAACTGTTTCCCTGTCCGTCTGTCTGTGTGCTGCCTGTATTGGATCCCACTTGAAAGCCAGGGCTGCTGTTGAAGGCTTCTGCAGGCAAGATCCATCCCTTCTCCACCTGCCATACCCAATGGGCCACAGCCAAGACCTGCTTTGTGCAGGTCAACAGTGAGAGCCTGTTCCACCGAGAGGGGCACACCAACCTAAGCTGTCCTCTTCCCCGGCTTCTCTCTTTCCATATGAGGGGCTGAGGCTTTGGAGAAGGCTTTCCTAGACCCTGCTCTCCTTGCCTCTCTCAATCCTCCTTTGTCTCTCTTCCTGCAATCTCTCATTTTGCAAAGTAAGTAGGAGGCTCCACCCAAAATTGAGAGACATCCCACCAAACAATCTGCATTCTGGATCCCCATGGAAAGCCCGGTTGGAAATGGAGATTCTTACCATCTCTGTACACCCCCCGCCCCATTTCCTTGAAGCATCTGAGGCCTCAGTTGACTTTCTAGTCTTAACCCCACAAGTCTACCCTGACCTTCAATTTACCAGTCTCTTGGTTTCTGAAATTGAAAAATGAAAGTGAGCTGGGCACCGGTGGCTCACACCTGTAATCCCAGCTACTCAGGAGGCAGAGATCAGGAGGATCGCAGTTCGAAGCCAACCCAGGCAAATAGTTGACGAGACCCCCTATCTCGAAAATACCCAACACGAAAAGGGCTGGTGGAGTGACTCGAGTGGTAAAGCTTAGCAAGCATGAGGCCTTGAGTTCAAACCCCACTACTGACCAAAAAAATAATAAAAATGAAAGTATAATCTGCAGTCCCACTGCAGAGCAAGGGAGCTGCTCCAGTCCGAGAACTAGGAGTCCATTTAGCTGCTGACCAGGTCCAGGTCCCTCTATTCCCAAGCAGCAGGGCAACCCTACTTGTTGTCTCTGAGGGGATGATTGCCACATGAAGAGCAAACTTGTGACTAAGGCTGGCATGCTCACTGATTTGCATAAACAATTTTGGTGCAGCATTGCAGTAAGGCATATAGTTTATACAGGCGATAAGAGGGACCAAGGACAAGCCTCACTAGGCTGCCAGCTGCCAGTTCCACCTAGCAGACATTTACTGAGCACCATCTGCTGCACAGAAAGTAGTCTCTACCTATCAGGACCCCGCAGGCCCTGAGCAAACAGGTGTACAGGTGTTTACAGCAGAATGGATGAAAATATACCCAGTGCTACAGGACAGACTTCCCCAGAGGACGACAGGAAAGGGCTATTTCATAGCTGGATCTTGAGGGATAAAAATGTTTTCCAGGAAGAGTGGGGAAGGTGGCAGTTTGGGCAGAAGAAACTTGTCTCTTCTGAGGTGTGGACATACCTGTACATGTCTGGGACAGGGAGCAGTATGGATTGAGGGAGCAATAAGACTTGGGGTAGGGATTATTTTTTTGGCATTGGCAGTCCAGGTAGCTGGCTAGTGACAAGTTACAAAGAGTCTCATATTTTAAGGGAAGGCATTTCACAGGAACAAAGGCAGAGCCCTCTATTCTGGGGTGGCCTTCAAGGTGGCTTCTTCCAGATGTGACTTTTCAGGGTGAGGCCTGGCTTAGCCTGGGAAACAGGAACCTGTGGCCTTGGCCATGACTCAGCTGCACAGAAGAAAGGCGAATGGGGCTGGGGCCTGGGTGGGGCCATGGGTTGTGGTGTGGGACTCTGGGATAAGGCTGTAATCCAGGGCACATTTCTGGGGTCTGAGGAACGGATGCAGATGGAGCACCCACGTGCCTGGACCTCCCTGCCGCTGTGGGAAAAGACAGAACTGGCCAGAAGTTTCCAAGAGATGAGCTAGCCACTGGGGTGGGGAGGCTGTCTGAACCTGGCACGCTCTGCTCCTTTCTCTCTGTTTTGCTCATGTGCATGGTGACAGAACACTTGCCTAGAGTGACCCTGCACTGCTGCAAAGCTTTTAAAGCCATTAAAATAGGCCGTGCCACCAACCGATAACCTCGAAGGGAAAAAGGAGGGCTCTGCCCAAGTGGCCTGAACTGCTCATCTGTTGTCAGATGACCAGGGATGGAGCAGACTCCTGGCTTAATTGTTAGTAGGAAGCCCTGTGAGGCATGACCCAGCAGCAGATTCAGGCTCCAGAACATTCTGGAACCTTCCCAGCCCAATCTCTTCCTCTACTCCTTTTCTGCCTGACCTTCCCTTAGGTTTGCCAGTTATGTCTCCTAACCCAGTCTGTGCCCTGGGTTCTGCACTGTGACCCCACTTCATCCTCCCCACATAGAATATGTGTTACTATAAAGAACATTTTCTGGGAAACTTTTTTTTTTTTAAGGTGCTTGGCATAAAATCCAGAACCTCACACATGCTAGGCAAGGGCTATACCACTGAGCTGCTCTCTCTGTCTCTCCCCTCCCACAAGGAAAGCAGGGGTTTTTAAGTAAAAACCCCTGAACCTAAATAAGCTGGGTCCCTTAAAGGTAGGTAACAAATGACCCCTTTGCTCTCAGAGGTGACTATAACACTCCCATCACTATGACTGGAGCAGACCATCCGTTTATCTGCTTCCCCAGCCACCAGTAAAATACACATGAGAGAGAGTCAAAAGCCCCACGCACACGAAATTGGGTCAGATCCATGGCTGCTACTGGAGAATCCACCAGGGACTGAGGGACTCTGAGCTGGTTTGGGCCCCGGTGAACAAAGAAGGATTTTCCTTGTTCAGGAAGCCTCAAAGGCCCTGGGGAGCCAGGCGTCATGTGGGCCTGGGGTCACCTGGCTCGTCATTTCACAGTAGGTTGAGGTATGGGCTCACCTTAGCACCAGGATGCCTTCTCCTCTGGTCAGAGCCCGGATGATCTTTTGGGAACTTTGTGTCTGTGTTTTGCAGTGATCAGGGCCAAAGCAGTGAGCGAGAAGGAGGTGGATTCCGGGAATGATATCTATGGCAACCCCATCAAGAGGATCCAGTATGAGATCAAGCAGATAAAGGTAACCTTGGCCGCCATGACTTCCCAGGCTGCACCACACAGGGCAGAGGGCCTGGGTCCCTGGAATGCCATCCAACAACCTGTGGGCAGAAAGTAAAATAAACAACTCTGACTCTCCATAATCCATAGGTGCCTGAAAAGGTGGGCAGAAATGAAATGGTGTGTTCCCAGGGACTTAAATTATTTTAAAAATGTGCTACCTTTATTTTGATGGGTGATAGGTAAATCAACAGCAATGCCTCTGTATAAGTCACCAAGGCCTCTGCTGCATCGCCATAGCTAAGCCTGTCCTTGGCTGAGCTTTTGTGGGCTTCAGCGACTGTGAGGGGTTCAACACACCTCGCTGGCATGCTGTTGACTGAGAGAAGGGTTGTGGAGGAGGGGTCTGGTAGGCAGGTGTGGACAGGGACAGCTTTCTGACTGTGACAGCATTTACTGAGAAGACAGCCTATCAAGTGGACGGGCCTGATTCAGAGGGGCTGCAGACATAGGCTGGGGGTGTTTGTTAGTTTTTTCAGGGGATTATCTGTGTCCCCAGGCATATGGGAAGAAACCCATGTTTAAGTGAGAAAAAGCAAGGGAAGGAGGAGGGATAGGACCCAGAGCCAGGGTGGCAGGCCTGATGCTATTGTGGTAGGCATTAACTAACTTGATGTTCTAGAAAGAAAAAACAATTCTGGATCCAGGTGTTGGGACAGCTTTGCAATATGGTAGTGATTGTAACCATCTGTGTTTAATTGAGAAAAAGAAAAGGTCCTAAAAAATAATTGTTATCGGAAAGCCAAAGAAATGCTTACTCGTCACGTGTGTCACTTTAGGAGGTGCCCTAGTCTCATTATAAAGAGACGCTGCTCCCGAGGTCCCATCACAGGTGAAAATGCCAAGGAAGTGCCTTTAGCCCCTGGCAAGCAATGACGTTTAGTATGGAATGCTGAGGTTGCCGTCCTTATGGCCTGGCTTGGTTTGGGTTAGAGCATAACTCTCCCAAAACAGGTTTGTCTCAATGTTAGGGCTGATTCTTGCTTATCAAAACTCTAAAAAAAAGAACAAAACAACCCCCCTTCTTCACCTGGACTGGACAGCAGGTGCCCTCTGCAGAGCTGTTAATAAACTAGACACTGAGAAATCAATCCCTCTTGCCCTTGGGGTTTTTTTTTTTTTTTTTTCAGTGCCAGGCAAGTGCCCAGCCCTGGCTCTTAGGGCTATATCCCAGTTCCAGGGGAATTCTTGGGATTCTTGTTCCTATCTGGTAGCCAGTGGTTCATTGAAATTCCTAGAAATAAGCAGGGTGTGATGGTTCACACCTGCAATTCCAGCTCTCAGGAAGAGAATTGTGAGTTTTGAGACCCTATATAAAAAAAAAAAACTGGAAATAGGGTTGTGGGTATAGTTCAGTGGGTTCAATCGCCAGCATGCACGCATACACACACACTTGCACTCACACACGCGTGTGCACACACACACACACACCTTCCTGGAAACACACAAAGGTCGTGGCTCTCTAAGATGGGCCAGAATCCAGAAGATTTACACAAGCCCCTGCCAGAGATTCTGATATGACTTTTTGGGTGGGGAGTGCTGAGTGTTGTCTGAGAAAGCCCCTCCAATGAGTGTTGTGCCCACCTGTCACACTAAGCAAATGAGTGACTGAAGAACCTATTTACAAAAGAAAAGGCAGCCTTCTAAGCTGTCGGACTTGCTCCCGTCTGTCCATCCCTGGGGGGTTCTGGCTGGGAGCAGAATCCACTGGCTGTGCAGCCCACCTCTGACACTTACCAACCCTGGTCTTTCCAGATGTTCAAAGGACCTGAGAAAGACATAGAATTTATCTACACTGCCCCCTCCTCGGCAGTGTGCGGGGTCTCGCTGGACGTTGGAGGAAAGAAGGAATATCTCATTGCAGGTATGTAAGGGGGAGCTTTTGGCTTTGGGCACAAGCAGCTTAATGCTAAGTCGATGATACCCTGTTCTCTGTATCCCTTAATGTCCTGGTCTCTAAGGAACAAGCTCCCCACACTGCCCTCTAGGGGCGATCTGGACAAACTGCAGAGCTGTCCAAACAGTCACCTAGGAAGCAGTCCCCCTGGTGTAGCTGCTGTGTGGTAAAGTGGCCTTGCTCTGGACCAGCACCTGCTCTGAGACATACCCGCTGTGGGGGTCCCTTTTCCAGGACTTCCTGCCTCTCGGGAGAGGAAACAGAGTTGGCTTCACCAGGCCCTGGCTGTAAGGCTGAGGTTTCTGAACCTGTCCACACTAAGTCCATTTAATCCTCATGTAAAAGGCATGTTATTTTACAGGTGAGGAAACCTGAGATGGTACAGTTCCCCAAACCCAGGGACGAGCACTTGGGGCCACTTTCCCAGGCTGGCCAGAGCCTGTTGTTATGTTTTTAGGTTGGCAGCTCAAAACTGGTGAGGGTAAAACATTTCCTACTTAGAAATCAGCAAAGGCTACTGACTGGGGCTTTTCCTCCCAGAGAGCTGGTGGCTAGACATTCCCCAGTGTGGCTCTGTGGTGTCACTGGCAGGGTGGCCAGGGGAGCTCCGCCCAGTCTTTCTGGGGGCCGTGCCTGTGCTCCTGACCAGCGCCTTCTGCTGCTTCACTCTGGGGGGTTTAGGATTCTCATTGCTCCTCCATCTTCCCAGTGGTCTTCCTCTTGCACTTCCTGCTGGGATTCCCTGGGGAACTGGTAAAACTCTCCATGCCCAGGCTGCACCCAGACTAAGTCAAGAAGAAACTTTGGAGAGTCCAGTTTGCAGCCAGGGCCGAGAGGCAGTGTCTCACCAGAGCCTTCCCCTCTCTGAGTCTAAGCGTCTCCTCCAGAAGTGATTGGTCAGTACACGATGGGGAGGGCTGTGCCTTGGCAGCTGGGGACAGTCACAGCAAAGGGACCATCTCGACACTGTTTTTACCTCCGGGGGCCCTTTGCAGTCAGCCAGACCTGCCATTCACCAGGAGGTCCGGAGCACTGAGCACTGCTCTCTGTTCCATGAGTTGGAAGGACTGGACCAAGGGGCCCTTCAGTGGGTCCTGGCGCTAGCAGTCCATAAGCCCAGAAACACTTCTCAGAAGTCTTGACACACAGTGACTCGGCCATGTACCTGGCTCAGGCTCCTGACCCACGCCACAAACCCTGAGAGTGCAAGGAGGCCGTGGGAGAATGCTGTGCAGATCGAGGCAGAGGCCCGGCCGCACAGGGCGGTAGTGTACGGATCGTGGCGATCCTGTTTTATTTGTTTGGGAAACATGGTAAATGTTTTTCTCAGCCCTTCCCTGAAAGGGTTAGGTTTCTGTGACCAAATGAGGCCTTGGGAGTCAATCAGTGCAGAAGCCAAATATTTCCATAGCTATTACGGATGTTGTTGGTGTCACTCATACAGAAGTCCATCCTCCACTATCACAGTCAGAGGTTTCACAGTCAGCGTGTCCCATGCTGTCCCTACACCCAGCCCCATTAAGTCAAGCCCAGTCTCAGAAAAAAGACAATTACACAAGTAATGATACACACATCGTGGAGGAAAATGAAAACCTGGCTCCATCCAGATAACAGCCCCACACAGAGAAAGATGAAGGGCTGGTGGGGTGGCTCAAGTGGTAGAGCGCCTGCCTGCCTAGCAAGCGCGAGGCCCTGAGTTCAAACCCCAGAACTGCCAAAAAAAGATGAAAATCCCTTGAAGAGACTTACTTAGAAACCGCGTGCCCAGCGTCACAGACTTCACGTTGGCTGCCCGAGGAAGCAAGTTAAGTACACACGCCCGCTCTACTTTCCTAACTGGTTATACAACATAAGATCCTTAACAAGCCCTTCTAGGAGTATCGTGTACTGTTTGCAAAGCTGTAGTAAACATGTGCAACGTGCATTGATCACGCGCACTAATGCAGTCACAAGGTCGTGTGACTGTCACTGTTTCAGGACTTTTTCATCTTCCCAAAGTGAAACTCCACCCCCATCAGCCAAGGACTGTCATTTCTCCCTTTCCCTGATCCCCAATCCCCGCTGTTGACTTTCCATGTATGAGTTGGCCTGCCTTAGGGACTTCATGATTCCAGCGAATTCCGTATCTGTTTGTGACTGGCTTGCACTGAGCATCTCCTCAGGGTTCATCCATGCTGTAGCATGTGTCAGTACCTCCTTCCTTGTTATGTACACACATTTTTAAGTTTTCAAAAAAATGTGGTTCGTAGACTGGAGGCGTGGCTCAAGTGTTAGGGAGCTTGCCAAGCAAGCATGAGGCCCTGAGTTCAAACCCCAGCACCTCCAAATTAATTCTCCATTGAATTCTGTATGTGATTTCATATCAGTGTTTCCATTAACTTTCTAACTCAGTATTCAGGGCACTGGGATGATACAGAATTAAAGCTGTCAAGTGCTAACAGTTTTCTTCCCTGCCCCCGCATCCCATCCCAGGGTGGGGATGAACCCAGGACCTCACGCTTGCTTGCTCACCACTGTTGTCCTTGTAAGCAGTAACAGTTTCTTATACCAAGAGAAGAAGGTGGCCAATGAAATGCAAAGCACAGGCTCTAAGGACACACCTGTGTGAGTTTCAACTGGCGTCCTGACACCTGACCAGCTAGTGGCCCTGACCAAAAGGCTAACTTGTCAGTGCCTCACTTGCTTGTCGGTGGTTCTGGGATGGTGCCAGTAGTAACTGTCCCCTGAGGCTGTTGCGAGGATGAAGTGGGAAATCACAGAGCTGCTGGGCTCCTTGGTGGAGGCTTATTCCAGGGTAGCTAGTCATTTTGTTTCTTCAACTCAGCATGAAGCATAGCACCAAACACAAAGCTGATGAGTTGGTGTAGAGCCGTAGCTGGGGTCTGAGAATAGCTGGGCTTGCAAGGAGTGAGGAGGGGCTTCTGGAAGCCCACTGTCCTCTTGGGTCTCAGTGGAAGGCCATCCTTGAATGATTCTGAGGCAGGAGTGTGTTCAGGACAGCCAAGGTGTCCTCCGTGTCTCTCCCCTGGGGACAACTCAATGATGAGACGGCCTGCCTATACGCTAGCTGCTCTGCCAGTGAGGGCCCATTGCCTCCTCCCCCTCTTCTTGGGAAGGGGGCAGGAATGAGGCACCATGGCAGCCGGCTGACTCACCCCATTGCCCGAGATTCTCTCTAATTGGATGTTTTCCCTCAATCTTGGTCAGGTGACTCCAGATGAATCTGGCTTTTACTTCCCAAGGCACAGAACCTACTTCCAGTTCTTTGGAGTTGGGATGAACCCTTTAGTCAGGGGTTAACCAGAAATCACGGGGCACAGTAAACCGCTCAGCCAGTGCTGGCTGTGGCCCCATGAGTGACCGCATGGCCTGAGGCAGCCCACCTCCTCCTGGGCGATGACTCAGCTTCACATGTCCACTTGAGCACCATGAAACCACGTTAAGGAACTCACACAGAATTGGCCCTATAATTTTCTGCTACAGCCCTCTTCTCCAGAAAGGAAAAGTAAACACACAAGCCTCGGTTACACATTTTAATTAATTTCTGTTTTTCTGTATTCAAGGCTCATGCTTTGCTTTTTTTTTTTATTTTCAAGACAAGCATAAGTCGAATGTTGCAACAGATACGCCTGTCATGTAGGCCCAACCAAGTCTTGTGTGTGTGTGTGTGTGTGTGGTACTGGGATTTGAACTCAGGGCCTTCACCTTGAGCCACTCCACCAGCCCTTTTTAGTGATGGGTTTTTTGAGATAGGATCTCATGAACTATTTGCCCTGGGCTGGCTTCGAAACGTGATCCTCCTGACCGCTGCCTCCCAAGTAGCAAGGATTACAGGTGTGAGCCACCAACGCCCAGTTCCAGAAAAGACTTATTAATTATACTACAGGGGTCTTCCCATAACCTTCCAGGCAGAGCATACACAGTTCATGGAAGCTATTGAAAAGACTGAATTTGCATTTACCTCTACCTCTGCCAACTTTCTGTGGAAGCTTAAATTAGTGATGAAAGACCAAAAGAAAAATAGCAGAAAAGGGCAGAATAGGAAGGAAACCGTTAAACAAGCACACGTGTGCACCAGCAGTAAACTTGTGTTGAGCAATTGCTGTGTGCAAGGAATTGTGGGTACAAAAGGGTTATGACAAAACCCCTTCTCTTCATGCATAAGAAAAGCAAATGAAAGACTGGCTGCAGTAGCTCAAGCCACTTAGGAGGTAGAGATCAGGATGATCACAGTTCAAGGCCAGTGGAGGCAAAATGTTTGGGAGACCCCATCTCAACCACTGGCTGGGCACAGTGGTACACACTTACCATCCCAGCTATGTGGGAAGCATAAATAGGAGGATCACAGTTCAGGCTGGCTCGACCATAAAACAAGACCCTCTCTCATCACCAGAGAAGCTTGGAGGGTAGAGCCCAGATGGGGCAGGGAGGGACTGCAGTATACCTGAATGGGCAGAGTATGCCAGAAGAAGCCAGGATATAGGAACAGGTGACTTGGGACTTCTTATCTTGTTTTACCTACTCTGAACCCATGGAAAATGCCCACGGGTCTGGAGAATGAAAAGTCAAGTATCCATTTTTTTAGGTTGTAGGATTCAAAATAAATGGCCCAATAGCAATACTGCTCCTTGATTCTCTTCTTCGCCTGCAATGGCATACAAATCGAGACAGACTAAAGGGCCAAGTGACCTCCCGAAGGGAAGAGGAGCAGCTGACACAAGTGAGAGCACAGGAATTTGAACCCAGGATGTTTGCACCATGCACAGTGTGCCTGGGACAATGGATGTCACTGTGTCCACTCCAAGCCCCAGGCAAGCCCGTCCCAGGGCCATGGGTGGCAGTCTCACTTATTCATGGTGCAGCTGACAAGCTGCCTGACTGCATCTCAGAGCTGTGTTTCTGTTAGTGGACTCTCCATGGCGCGCGCTGTGCTTGACGGGCAGAGGCTTCGTTCAGCAGAGGGCAGGGACCGAGGCTCAGGGGCCCCCTCAGGGGCTCGCCCATCTTTCTGTGCAGGTCCTGGTGCGCCTCCCTGGGCATTTGTATCTCCTAATGAGGTGTCATTGCAGCAGGAGAGGTGAGTTTTTAGATCACCTCCACAGTCACCGTTCGGTTCTGCTGTTCACTGGAATACACTCACCTGTTCTTTTCCTCCCGTGTGGCTGATGCCAGGGCTGCCAGGGAGGTGACATCTTCAGCAAAGGGAGGAGGGAGCTGAGTCAGGAACCTAAGTCACAAGACAGGAACTGCTGCTCCTTCTGCCCGATGAGGGAATTTAAAGCAGATCTCTACTGCTTAAAAGTTCTAAGTGTTTGGCCGAAATGGCCAAATTCACCATGCAGTGAGGAAAGTGCCTGTGGATAAATGTTTGCTGTAAGATAAACCAGGAAGCGATAGGATGTACATAACACACGATCTTATTTTGTATGTGAATATGCATGGGGAAAAGAACGTCAGAGGAGCGGGGTGCCGGTGGCTCGCACCTGTAATCCAGCTCCTGAGGAGGTGGAGATCAGGAGGATAATGGTTCGAATCCAGCCCTGGGCAAATAGTTCTTGAGGCCCTGTCTCGAAAATTCCCAACACAAAAAAAATGCTGGTGGAGTGGCTCAAGTAGTAAAAGAGCCTGCCTAGCAGGCGTGAGGCCATGAGTTCAAACTCTAATGTATAAATACATACTCGAGGAAATATATCACTTCAGCTACAGGTGAGGGAATAGGAGTACTTTTGTCTTAATTGTTTCTTGCATTTTCTAAGGAAGCATGCATTTTTTTATTTGTTTGCTTTGACGTTTGACATAGGTATCTCTATGTAACCCAGGCTGGCTTTGAACTTGAGAGCCTCCTGCCTCAGCCTCCCCCAGTGCTGGAATTACAGGTGTACACCCCCCGTTCCCAGCAAGCATGCTTTATTTTTTAAACTCAGAATAAACAGCCAATGGTGGTGTTAGAGCAAATCTCAGTACCCCCGAGCTGCATCGAGGCATGGGAGGTAAGCAGTAGGAGGGAACTCATCCTCCTCAAGGGCCTTGACCTTGGTCACTCCTGCCTCTCCACAGGAAAGGCTGAAGGGGATGGCAAGATGCACATCACCCTCTGTGACTTCATCGTGCCCTGGGACACCCTCAGCCCCACCCAGAAGAAGAGCCTGAACCACAGGTACCAGATGGGCTGTGAGTGCAAGGTGAGCAGACCCGCGCCCACTGGGGCTTTGCCACTGCCAGGTTCTCGAGGTGGAGAGCCAGTGCTCAGGTCTTTCATTTCTTGAGCCCCTCAGTCCACTGGGTCCTGATTTAGGCCTGGACCCTGGGAAGATATGATCTCCCCAGGCCTGAGGCTGGCTGGTTGGCTGGGAACAGAGCCTTTGGCCCTTGGTCTCTGGAGAACCTCCAGTGGCATTTCTGGAAGGTAAGAGAATTGTGGGTGAGCACACAAATCCAGCCACTTGTCTGGCACCTTCTGGAGAAGAAATCTTGAGGGGAGGTCACGGTCCTGTGAGTGTTTTATTTACGAATGTGGAAGTATAAACATTGGTGCACCTCGTGAGGGTGCGCCCCAAGTGTCATGCTTTTCCTAACATCCCCAGACATTTCCACGCATGAGTCCTGTAAATGCGGAATGTGTTGAGAACACCAGAAGTGCCGCCTCCCTTCTCAGAACTTGCCCGGTGACTGCTAAGCAGAACTATAGCAGCACTGCTGCCACTTAGATGTGGCTGAGGAGGGTGAGATTCCCCCAGAGTGTCACCTCCAATTCACTGCCATATCCCCCCTCAAAGCCCCATATCTGTTCCTCCCTCCCCCACTCAATGCAGGAAGCATTGCTGGGTACCTGGTATCCCTCTGTGTTATTAGGACTGAGTCTAGGGCCAGGAGTTACCAGCTGAGTGCTGCCCCGTGCCTCTGGGAGCTGTTTGTGGGGTCAGTTTCCCTTCTGGCTGGTGTCCATTCATCCCTTAGCTCACGCAAGGTGTAAATTCCAAGCCCATGGTGTCCAACCACACACACACCAGGCTCAGCTCCTCTGTGCCCAGGATGACATCAAAAGCAAACTCTTTGTCTGTGCGTGGCCATAAGGGTGGTCACCCTAGTGTAGCTGTGTGTTCCTTTGACAAAATGCTAGCTCAGAGTTCATGATTGAGAGCAAGGCATGGGTCTTCTCATTCAGCTTTGTAGATTGTCTCCAGACTCGTCCTCATCGTTGTCACCATTGTTATCAGTGTTGTGCCTCTTGGAAGGCAGGCTACCTTCCTACTGTTAGAACAGATGGCCCAAAGCAGAGGCACGCCTGTAATAGCAGAGGCTGCCCAGGTGGGTGGACACCCCTGGTCCTAAACCCCCTACAGCAGGCTGCCTGCTACAGTATGGAAAACGTGGTTTCTATCCTTAAATGTTCTCAGCAGGCACAGCTGGGCTCTGGAAGGGAACCCCTGAGTGGCCTTGGCTCTGTCACTTCCTTAGTCCCCATCTAAATCTGCCTGCATGTCCCCCACCCCCAGATCACACGCTGCCCCATGATTCCATGCTACATCTCCTCCCCGGACGAATGCCTCTGGATGGACTGGGTCACGGAGAAGAACATCAACGGGCACCAGGCCAAGTTCTTCGCCTGTATCAAGAGAAGTGACGGGTCTTGTGCGTGGTACCGCGGGGCGGCACCTCCCAAGCAGGAGTTCCTCGACATTGAGGACCCATAAGCAGGCCGACAGCATCCTGTGGCCAATTGAAAAGCCTCCAAGGGTTTAGACTGGTCCAGCTCTGACATCCCTTCCTGGAAGCAGCATGAATAAAACCGTCCTCCAAGTGGGCCCACATTTGTATGATTCTGCACCCCCCCATTTCCCCTAAATATGGTTGTGAGTCTGGAGAGGTGGGTCTGCCAGGTCTCTCCCACACCCTCTCTCTCCACCAGCGGGAGCACCGTGTGTCTCGGTCTTCCATCCTCTGGTGCGGGAAGGGGATGGGACACACAGACTTCCTGCCCAGGTCTCCTTGGCACCTCACAGATGCCAGGCAGGCAGTATTTTGGGAGTCCCCCTCCACCGGCCCAGTTAGGGCAGAGCCTGGAAATATGCATTTTGCAGAAACTTTTGAGGGTCGTTGCAAGACTGTGTAGCAGGCCTACTAGGTCCTTTTCATCCTAAAAGGGGCATGTCCCTTGTTTTCTGCAGAAGCCACCCCTGTGACCTAGGGTGACTACCCCTGGCCCATGTAAATGAGCCCCAATTCCCCTGGGCCCACTGTGGACTCCCAGCACCTGTGACTTCCCCAAGTCCAGGAGCGGCCCTGGAAGCAGGGACTCATTCTTGGAGTCCCTGGATTCGTTCTATGAATCTGCAGGATGCCAGCGGAACCTCCCTTGGGACCCTGTGGAGACATGGGGGGGCCTTGCTGAGACACAGTTCAGCTTCAGTAAAGTCATTTTGGTCCTGTCCCCCCATACCCAGCCTCTAGTGGGGATCTGTGAGGTTCTGAGCTGAAGGTTGACATCCAGGATGGGGGTGGGTGGCACTTTGGATGTCCCTGTAGTTCCATCCTGAGTTTCTCAAGTCTCTCTCGCCCCCTACCTGTCTGGTATCAGGCATCTGGCTTGAGCCCCATGACTCTGCTGTCCCCAGGGTGGTATGCAGCCTTTGGGGCTGGCCTTGTTCCCTGTTTGCTCATTCTGAGGACATAAAAGGCTGTTCTTGCTGTGTGCCAGCAGGCTTAATGACATCTCCCTGAAAGACTGATGGCCACTCTTGTACCAGTGAATTTCTGCAAGTGTCTTTAGCTAAGCGTATTAAGTCCACCAGGGAGGAAAGACTTTGGGAGCAAGCAGCTTGCATGACACCCTCACTTCTTTCTGGGACCCCCAGGACACTGTGGCCTGTTTTCTAAAGATGGATTCTCAGATAATAGGTGAACCTGAGTCGCAGGTGTACCATGTTCTGTTTCCATTTCTTATTGTCACAAAGATGACCCACTTATGCCACTTCCCAGGGACCTGGGGAACCTACTACTTCCCTAGAAATGGTTTTCAGATGCCAAGAAAATAGGCTTAAGACAGGCAGAATTTTCTCAGTAATAATTCCAACAATCTCACTTTCCTTCCGACCCATGTCATAAAGACGCACGCACACACTGTGCTAGTGTACACACACACACAGGCACGCAAAATGCTTCCAAAGAACCCATTCTCTATGCCTGTTCTATTCGACAGTGACCCCAAAGCAACTATAAGACTCCTGACCCCCGAGGGGCACGCAGCCCCTCGTGCCCACGGGATCTGGTCAGCACAGAACTTGATCTCTTCCCTTTTTAGGACAGACTGGGAGAAAATCCAGAAACCACCCCTTTCCCTTGCCCCAAAGGGCATTTTCATGCTGTACAGTGATACAGAGTTGGTTAGATGTCGTAATGGACCAGTCCATGTGATTTCATATATGCAGCACCACCAGACCCTCCGGTCACTATAGCACCCTGCCCCGTCTGCTTCCTGTGCGGTGAAACCATACGTAACCTTTGCTCCTGTTTCTGCTGCTGACTTCCCAAATGTTTTGTTTTGTTCCTGACATTGGCTGTATCATTCCCGTGCTGTGTTTTATTACCCTTGGTAGGCGTTAGATGTGCATTTTTGACAAAAAGGTCTCTGCAAGTGAAAGTATTTGCCCCAGAGTGGAAAAGTCGTGGCATGGCAGCTGGCCTGTGATGGCGGACCCCTTCGGACCTTTCCTTAGTTCTTCGAGTCTCCTTGCTTTTTCTGCCTTCCATCTTTTTCTCCCTTTTCCATCTTTTGTTCTCTGGTTCAGATTACTACAAAGGAAAGTATCTCTGAGTAAGTTAGCTCTAAAAGATGGTCTTTATATTCGACCCACACGCGTTGGTTTTCTAACCATGCTGAGCAGAGGAAGAAAAAAAAACAATTAATGAAAGCAAATCAATGGCTGGTGGCAGCTGACAGCCAGCCACTCAAATGCCTTCACAGCAAGTAATTGCCATAGAGCTAGTTTAAGACGTGTTCCATTTGGCTTTGATTAATTTATGTGTTACATTCTAAGCACTGCTTTCTCGATTTTCATCATGCAAGCAACTCCACATATTTAAAATGAAGTTTACATTGTACTTGCTTCTAAATTGTGCTTCATAAGTATTAAGAAATATCTGTGAGCTTGCAGCCGTAATTTAAAGCTTTGTTGATCCTGTCCGTTCTTGTTTGGACTTTGTTGTTGTTGGGGATATGAAGTCTGAACCCCTCTGCCCCGTGCTGGGAACACGTGAGAGTTGTTGAAAGTCAACAAGCAGACTGCCCGTGTCGCTGATGCTTTGTATCATTGCTGAGCGATTGCTCCGTCAATCGACAATAAACAGTATTATCAAACAGAAACCTGGCTGTCCGTGTGGCTGTTTCCCAAGACGTTCAGAACTGCAGCATTCTAGCTGGGGAACGGGGAGGGGAGGGCACCAAAAGGGAGCCTCTCCTATCTGGCGATGAAGGGGTCCCTCCGTCTCAGAGGGAAACTGAGGCTTTGAGGAGAATGTGGACCACAGTGTGAAGAGGTAGCGGTACAACATCGTTCACCCAGCTCTGGTCCCTAACTTTTTATTGTGGAGCTCTGCAAATGCAGAGAGGGCTGGCAGAGTGGCTCAAGGGGTAGAGCGCCTGCCTTGCAAGCATGAGGTCCTGAGTTCAAACCCCAGTACTGCCAAAAAATAACAATAATACGGAGAGAGAGAACTAGGACCATGCCACCACCCTGAAGCTGCAACAGTGAGCCTCCTTCCTCTTCTGGCACCTGCTCCCCCAGCCACCTGCCCAACACTATTTGGAAGAAAAATCTGAGCTATCAAACAGTTCCATCTGCAAATATTTCAGCATGTATGTCTGAAAAAGAAGAGCTACTTCCCAAAATACCTTTATCACACCTTAAGAACGTACTTAGGTTTAATTAATGCCATGGAGCAGCTAGTCGGTGTCTGACAGTTCTGAGTGTCTGATGAATGTCTTGTTATGGTTTATGACTTTGAACCAGAGGCGTGTGTGGCTGTGGGTGGATGGTGTGGCTTGGACATGGTTTGAGTGTGTCCCTAAAGGTTTTGGGTATTGGCGCTTGATCCTTCGTGCAGGACATGGAGGCGGATGATAGTGATAAGAGATGTGGCTGGTGGCAGGTCATGCCTGGCTGCGCCCTGCTGTCCGGCTTCCTGTCTGGCCGTGTGCCTTCTTCCTCTCCCATTCAGTCCCCCCAAGATGCCCTCCACCATGATGGAATACAGCCAGCAGGACCCTCACCAGAGTGAGCACCTGAACTTGGACTTCCAGCCTCCCAAACTGGGAGCTAAATAAGCCTCTTTTTTATACAGATTAAGTACCCAGCCTCGGGATAACAGAAAACGCACTGTGACAGTTGGCATGCAACGTTTTAGTTTTCATTGCCCACCCTCTGGCTCACATGCAGACTTCGGTATTCCAGGGGCAGCTGGAATTGTTTACCATTCTGCACAGCTACTGTGCAAAAAGCAAGCACAAACTTGCTGAGACTTTTTGAAGCAGTAAAGAGTTAATGGAGAAGGCCAGGCATAGTGGTGTACACCTGTAATCCCAGCTACTTGGGAGGCAGAGGGAGGAGGATTGCCATCTGAGGTCAGCCCCAAAAAAGTTAGTGAGACCCTATCTCAAAAACAAACTAAAAACAAAAGGACTGGGAGCATGGCTCAAATGGTAGAGTTCTTGCCCTGGTACTGCCAAAAAAAAAAAAAAAAGTGGAGCGTTTGTACTGATACCTGTCCCACAAGACGTAAAATACCACACACTTACTATCGCTGCAAAAATATTCAGACAGTTTTTTCCCACATGGTGAAATTTGGGGAAAATAGTTCAACAGCCAATAATAATAATAATAAAAATAATAATAAAAACCTTCAGTGTCGCCAGGTGCCAGCGGCTCACACCTGTAATCCTAGCTACTTGGGAGGCCAAGCTTAGGAGGATCAAGATTCAAGGACAGCCCAGACAAGTAGTCCTGGAGACTCCATCTCCAAAATAACCAAAGCAAAATGGGCTGGAGGTGTGGCTCAAGCGGTAGAGCACCTGCGTTGTAAGTACAAAGCCCTGAGTTCAAACCCCAGTCCCACCAAAAACAAACAAACAAAAAGCCGTTGAGTGTTATACAAATGCCTGTAAGATTTTGTGGCTTATCTCAACCTGCAAGTCACATTTGGGGTCTTAGCAAAGAACACACCAAAGGAATACTACTCATGTCATTTATTTATGTATTTAGGTCAAACATGATTAAAAGAAGCAAAAAAATTCATGGCACTTTTCAAGCACATATAAAAATTTAGAGAACGGTATAACAAACTCATGTGTCCATGATCCAGTTTTCAACAGTTATCCAAGTTTCTTTGCAATTATCATTGCAGACAATTTTGTTTTAGTTAATGTATTTATTTTAGAGACAGGGTCTCGCTATATTGCCCAGGCTGGCCTTGAGTTCCTGGGCTCAAGCGATCTCCCACCTTGGCCTCCTAAGTGGCTGGGACTGCAGGTGCACACGACTGCGCCCAGCTGCACCCAGTCGTAAATCTGTAGGTCCACAGTGGGGAAACCTGATTGTTAGGGGCCCTACCAAGCCCTTCAGTCTTGCTTAGCCTTTGAAATAAAAGTGAGTGGGACAACTGAGAACTTCCTGGCCCACTGCCAAAATGCCCACAGACACAGAGTTCAAACTAGAAACACAGCGACAAATGTGTCAGGATCCTATTGGGAGAGACACGGGGCCAAGTGGGGACAGGGACGCCAGTAGGACTAGCACGTGGGAGCTCATGGAAGAATGTGAGTATG